TTAGATAATTTTGATAGAAAGGTATGTAATAGATTACAATCAACCAAAAATTAGACAGCTGTTAGTATGACAGTATTTACACAACTATCAATACTTTGTCGGGCAGCCCTTAGCCTTAATGACAGCCTGTAGTCTCATGGGCATGCTGTCATCCAGCTTCATGCAAACTTGAACTTCAGTTTTTTTCCCCCCAGACTCTGTCTGAATAATTTTTGGTCCCTAATTTGTATCCGTTTTACTGGTAGTCCACTGTATTAAGAAGTTTTGGGTATAGTTTGTCACAGTTTATTTTATTTTGCTATCCTCACTTACATAAATGAACTATAGTGTCCTGCACCCACTAGTAAAAAAAATATCAAAAATGATATCTGGTCTCTGAATTATTTTTTGGTTTCACTGTATATCCTTCGGTTATTTTCACACTTAATTATGCCCATTAAAATGTATTTTACAAGTTTTTGTTACTTTCACTGTTAATTTTTTTGCTCTATGGTACATCATCTTTAATTTAATAGCATTAGAGCTGCTCCATTGCAGCGGCTTAGTACTGTAATCACGCGCTTTGCTGTAATAATGCAGTTATAAATCTCCTAACTGTGATATTTTCAGCAATAGAAGTCGCGTTTTTTTTTTCATTTGAAACGTGCTGCGATTTATATTCCAAAGACACTCATATAATGCATAAACACTCAAGCAAGCAAAACACGCGCAACGCGTGCACGTATTTGTACTGATGCAGAATAGTACAGCCTAGCGCATTTCACACAGGCTGCTAGATTCACTTTCGCCAGAAAGTCGTGTATGCCTAAGGTTAAAAATAAATAGTTTATAGTGAATTCCCCTATAAATGGTCTATTTTGCGATTTAGTTTTAATCCAAATGATGTGTGTGCTAAATGAGTGAACATCAAAGATCACACAACAGAATTGTGCGCGCTCTCTCTCTCCCTCTCCATACCGTTTAAGTAACTTGTGCATTGTTTTACTTACTTGTTTTTGACACATCCGACCGAACTACAAGCTTTTCAGTGATGTCTGTGAGAAAGGCATATTCACTCGACAAGCTCGTGTATCTGCACCGCCGCGCGCTCAATCCACTCGGCGTGCTTTGCTTATCAGCTTGCGTACATCAGCTATACAGTCAGTACTGAAGTATGAACCCTGAATATGTATTCTGAAAAGCACTATATAAAGAAATTTGTCTTTGACATTTGGGCATTATTGTACGTTTTATATTTTATGCATTTGGCAGACACCGATCTGTTTTCCTGATGTGCTTGCATTGCTCAGATCAGCCATAGGAGCTGTATTTTTTATTTATTTATTTATTTTATTTTAATTTTTTTGCCATTTATTTTTCCATATTGTGGGAGCAGAAGACCAAGTCATCAACTGCCACTCACCCTAAGTGGCCTCAGTTGTCCTAAAATGGACCTGGACTTCAGGAATTTGTTAATGTCTTTGTTCCATGTCAGGAACATGAAGGCATGATTGTATAAAGAGGCTGACAGGATTAGTTGGTGTGGTTTTATAACTTTGTGCTTTGTCAATGCTCAGAGGATGGCAATATAACACTCTTTTTCAAGTTGTCAAAGTCTTGTAACTTCCCTTCACAAATGTTCTCTGGCTCCCATTGACATGCATTGTCTTTTAAGCAAGGCTTAGAAGTTTGTTCTCCTCCTCTTACAGTGTTGTTGGGTTGCCATGTGGCAAGACGTTCTGTTCTCAAAGACTGAAACAGGTCTGTCTGGTTGTCTGAAATCACCAGCAGGCTGAACAGTCTCGGTAATCGATACAATATATTAAATGGATAATTGAATTTTCTGTGCATGGTCTAGTGTTTAATCAGTTGATGTTTCATTTTTCAGTGGTAGTGACAGGTGTCATTAACTTTTATTACCTACAGGAAAGATATAAAGCACTGAGAAAGAATCCAGGTCTTCTTGCGTGACGAGTTGAGAATGGAACAAAGTTCATCAAGGCCAGATGATTCCTACTGCTCATGATAGTTCACACTATGCCTGCTGTCAGCAGTTATAATGTAATGAATAAAAAAAAAAAGAAATATAATTTTCTTTGATTTTGGGGTGAAATGCTACCTGGAAATTTTTGGATGTAAATGATGTATAATGTAGATAAATTCCAGAAAAGCAAGACATCGCTGTGTCATAGAAGTCTCGCGGTCACTTATTTCCAACCATGATGCAGGAACCAGGAAGAGACCCAGTTAGTAACCAGGGCAGTGAGATGAAAAAATTACCCAGAAGAATTCCCCTGGCATTCTCCAAGACCTGCACCTCTGCATATCCATAGACCGCTTTTCACTAATTTCAGTTTAACGCTTTTCACATTAAACTGAGCCATTCGGCCACTTCAGTAGAGATTTGATCAGGTTTGATTAGTAACCAGACCGTCCTTAATCACAGACTTGTCCTGACAGAGCTGCAGAGGTGAAGTCTTTAGAGTGAAGGGCCATGCTGTCTGGGTTACCTGCTTTAAATTCACACAACATTGGTTCTGGTCATGGTAGCGATTTGGAAACCTACTGGCGTGACATATTTGGCAGGTAGCATCGGGAAACTTCATTTAAAGACCCAGACTGATGCAGATCTTGATGTTTATTTACAACTCTGCATTTATATTCAGAAGACCTGTTGATCTGAACTGAGCTGTAGTTAGTGGATTAATACCATGATGTATATTTATTATACAATATCAAGCGTAGCATTAGTTCTGGCAGGTCACATTAGTCAGGCTCGCATCAGCTGATTCTCAGCTGATCCCCATCTACCTATGGTAATACGACACCTATCTAAGCATTCATATATAAGGTCCCTCAGTATTATCAGCAGTTTTCGCATTTCTCAATAGCTAATTACCCTCCTCCATCCCCAGCTCCTCCTCTGTCAGTCGGGATTCAGCCTTCTGATTATCCCTTGAATCAGACTAATTCTAAAATGTGTACACAATTATTGAACTTTAACAATATCTGCAATACATTTATGTTGGTTCTGTTCTGTTTACCCTGGGGGGGTTATCGCTGCTCTTCCTGCTCTCATCCATGCTAGGCTGTATGGATGCGCAGGGAGTTCTCGCCCAGAACAGAACCATACCACCAATCCAAACTGTATGCTAATTGTCAATCATCTTTGATGATAGTGGTCCTGACAGAAATAGCATTCTCTTTTTTTGGAATATAGTTATAAGAATGTTTCTTTTGTTTTTGGCATTACAGTGATGTACATTTGGAAAGGATTTTTTTTTTCATGATAATCACACATAAATCCTAAAATAGGCTTAATTTTCTTGAAGAAAAATAAAATTTCTTATGTTTCTTTTGAAAAATGACCTGAGCATATTCTTGACAGGTTTTGTGAGTTCATATCTTGGTCTTTCTGTTTTGGGCATTCGGCTTGAAGTAACTGTAGGTTAGAGGACAAGCAAGTGAGCAAGCCCTTTTTCCTTCTTTAGACTGTTAGACCATGTTTGAAAATGTCAGATTATGGCTGCACCTCGATGCCTGCTCTCATAGGAGAGAGGATGACATCATGGCTGGCTCATGCATTAGTGTTTCTGTGATCTAATGAGTGTCCTGGTTAGGGTTGCTTGAGTAATGCAGGGGAGATGGGTTCAGCCCCCTGGGACCTGAACACAGTCCGTCTGCTAACTGATTTTGCTGATGTCTCACAGCATAAATTAATAAAGCTATATAGATTTAGGAATTATGCTAATTGGTGCCTTTGGTGTCTTCCAAAGTCACTTAAGTGAAAATAAATAGAATTTTACTTTTTTTAAGGGCGGGAGATTTAAAATGTGTAGCTACTACCAAGAGCTTGGTAATATTCATGATAATAAATATGTGTGATGATTTTGCTTGTGATAAAATTAAGGAACATCATATGTTATATCACAATGGTTTTAATGTGTTTTTAATTTGGCTGTTTAGTTCCCTAGACATCAGACGAACCTTCATTGACAGATGTTTTTCGTTCATTTTAGTCAGTCTGTTCTACTGTACTATTCAAAATGCTGACTAAGCTAGTAAATAAGCTAAAATTATTAAATATCATTATTTTGCATATTTAATGTTTTTCTAAATCAATTTGGCTGGGTTGAGCATTTTTTTTTCTCTCCTCAAAACAGTAAGATCAGATCTCTGAAGAGTTAATTTCTTGTTCACACCAGATCTAAATTTCTTATTAATTTAGGCAAGTTGCATGCATTTTGGAAAGTACAGTTATGTACAATTGTCTACAAATTTCACAATAACTAAATGCATTTTGCTTGATCTAACCTGACCAGTTGAATCTCAGTGAAATTCATATTCCTGAAACTTTAACATTCTTTCATCGTGTGAGCCATCACATCCAAAATGATTCATTATCCAAATCTGACAGACTGACATACATGTATGTTAAATGTATCAAAAAATGTATTGCGTACATCAGTGCACATTCTTTCTTGGTATTGACTTTTCCCAGTAAACTTTTACCTAGTTGTTATATAAATAATTTGGGAGAAAATACATAAAAATTTGAATATCATCAACATATTTCTTTGCTGCTTGATTAATGACTGATTAATGCACCTAATGAGCACTTTGGCGTTACTGTGAGTGATGGATACATGTGCGTTGTGAGTGGATCTCATTCTGTGTCACTCTTTTTCACAGCACCTGTTTCCTGATGGGCCCTTTCAAACAGCTGAAGCGAATGTTTGAGCCCACCAGACTTATAGCCACCATTATGATGCTGGTAAGAAAGCGCCTCTGCATCAGCACTGGAGAGCTAACGAGACAGTTTGGAAAGGCGAATTTAACCTCGTAGCAAAACAGTTGACTCATCCTTATTAGATGTTCTTTTTACCTTGTCATTACATTAGATGAAAAAATGTCAAACCAAGTGGAATGTATTCAAGAGAAAAAATAATGCACAAGCACACATTTTACAAGAAGTTTGATTCAATGTGTTATATTTTATATCAAATATTTTTTAAATAATGAGTGCTAAACTGTATAATTGACTGTTGTGTCAGGCAACATAAGTCATAATCATAAACCGACAGAATATTGATATAGTTGAGTTAATGCGAGGAAGAGACTGGAGTGATACGAGACAATGAAATAGCTAAATGGGAAACAATTTGCCTGGGACATTACAGATATGCACATGCAGGCTAGCAGGGCAGAAGGAATGCTTCAGTCTTTTACAGTCACAAATCTGGAAGATTAAGAGATTCGAAGGACTGCTGTACTAATCCAGAAAAATCACAGCGGCTCTGAGTGACACTTTCCCCTGTAATCTGTGTTTGGTCTGAATCTGTTCACACTTGCTCAAGCACAGCACAGTATGAAGCTTGTTGTAACCAGACTATCAAATGATCATTGCGTATTTCTGTGCAGACGTCTGATGAGCACCTTATGATGTTTGTTTATGATTGCTCATTAAAGATTCAAAATAGTGCCCTAGAGTTATTTAATTACTCTGGATTATTCCCAACTCTGAAGAGAATAATGGGCGTTTAACTCGCTAATATATTATCTGGATTAATCCCAGATTGTTTATCTCACCAGCTGTTAGCAGGTTCATTGTTTCCACATATATACAAGCATAAACATCTATGGAAATTATTTTTGCTATGCCTCATGGTTATTCGATCACGGTTTCTTAACCCGTGTGTGCTTTTTCCCCAGCTATTCCTTGTGCTGACATTATGTGCAGTGTTTTGGGTAAGCTTCCTACACAACAAGTTTATTGCTGATATTCGGTTGACTGTTCGCTTGAGAAAATGTACATTATTCATATTTTATTTCTCTTTGTTTCCCTGCAGTGGAACAAAAAGGGTCTGGCGATCATCTTCTGCATTTTGCAATTTTTGGCCATGACATGGTAGGTGATAGACTGTCAATCATCTTTAAATGAAAAAAAAAAAGTTTATAAGATTTGTGTCAAATAATATTAAAATGATTATTGTATGGAACAAATCTCAAGAAGTGTATATCTAAGTATTTATCTTACACTTAGTAACTTCGGTTTTGTACTTATGTTCATTGTTAAAGATGGTTTCTAAAAGATTTTTAAAGAAAGTAATTTTTGGAACTGAAAGTAACTAGAAAAAGAGTGTTTTTTTCTTCTTCTCCAGAACAAATGTGAAATGTCATGATAAAGTGATATATCATGATATTTGTGTTTGTATATCTGAACGTGTGTGTCATGATGCTTATCATGAAATTTAACCAGTAGGCCAAATGCTAAATCTCTCTAGCAGCCAAAGACCTGAGCACTTTTGGTATTGTTGTGCCCAGAGTACCTAAAAAAAAAATGAGCAGCTTGCTCTGCTCTAACCTGGATCCCTGCTGCCTGGGCATCTCTACTAGTGTAGGCTGATTGCCTGTTAATTAAACTGCATGCAGTTTTCGCATTTCTCAATAGCTAATTACCCTCCTCCATCCCCAGCTCCTCCTCTGTCAGTCGGGATTCAGCCTTCTGATTATCCCTTGAATCAGACTAATTCTAAAATGTGTACACAATTATTGAACTTTAACAATATCTGCAATACATTTATGTTGGTTCTGTTCTGTTTACCCTGGGGGGGTTATCGCTGCTCTTCCTGCTCTCATCCATGCTAGGCTGCATGGATGTGCAGGGAGTTCTCGCCCAGAACAGAACCATACCACCAATCCAAACTGTATGCTAATTGTCAATCATCTTTGATGATAGTGGTCCTGACAGAAATAGCATTCTCTTTTTTTGGAATATAGTTATAAGAATGTTTCTTTTGTTTTTGGCATTACAGTGATGTACATTTGGAAAGGATTTTTTTTTTCATGATAATCACACATAAATCCTAAAATAAAATTTCTTATGTTTCTAACTTTTGAAAAATGACCTGAGCATATTCTTGACAGGTTTTGTGAGTTCATATCTTGGTCTTTCTGTTTTGGGCATTCGGCTTGAAGTAACTGTAGGTTAGAGGACAAGCAAGTGAGCAAGCCCTTTTTCCTTCTTTAGACTGTTAGACCATGTTTGTCAGATTATGGCTGCACCTCGATGCCTGCTCTCATAGGAGAGAGGATGACATCATGGCTGGCTCATGCATTAGTGTTTCTGTGATCTAATGAGTGTCCTGGTTAGGGTTGCTTGAGTAATGCAGGGGAGATGGGTTCAGCCCCCTGGGACCTGAACACAGTCCGTCTGCTAACTGATTTTGCTGATGTCTCACAGCATAAATTAATAAAGCTATATAGATTTAGGAATTATGCTAATTGGTGCCTTTGGTGTCTTCCAAAGTCACTTAAGTAAAAACCAATAGAATTTTACTTGTTTTAAGGGCGGGAGATTTAAAATTTGTAGCTACTACCAAGAGCTTCATAATATTCATGATAATAAATGTGTGATGATTTTGCTTGTGATAAAATTAAGGAACATCATATGTTATATCACAATGGTTTTAATGTGTTTTTAATTGGCCTGTTTAGTTCCCTAGACGAACCTTCATTGACAGATGTCTTTCGTTCATTTTAGTCAGTCTGTTCTACTGTACTATTCAAAATTCTGACTAAGCTAGTAAATAAGCTAAAATGATTAAATATCATTATTTTGCATATTTAATGTTTTTCTAAATCAATTTGGCTGGGTTGAGCATTTTTTTTTCTCTCCTCAAAACAGTAAGATCAGATCTCTGAAGAGTTAATTTCTTGTTCACACCAGATCTAAATTTCTTATTAATTTAGGCAAGTTGCATGCATTTTGGAAAGTACAGTTATGTACAATTGTCTACAAATTTCACAATAACTAAATGCATTTTGCTTGATCTAACCTGACCAGTTGAATCTCAGTGAAATTCATATTCCTGAAACTTTAACATTCTTTCATCGTGTGAGCCATCACATCCAAAATGATTCATTATCCAAATCTGACAGACTGACATACATGTATGTTAAATGTATCAAAAAATGTATTGCGTACATCAGTGCACATTCTTTCTTGGTATTGACTTTTCCCAGTAAACTTTTACCTAGTTGTTATATAAATAATTTAGGAGAAAATACATAAAAATTAGAATATCATCAACATATTTATTTGCTGCTTGATTAATGACTGATTAATGCACCTAATGAGCACTTTGGCGTTACTGTGAGTGATGGATACATGTGCGTTGTGAGTGGATCTCATTCTGTGTCACTCTTTTTCACAGCACCTGTTTCCTGATGGGCCCTTTCAAACAGCTGAAGCGAATGTTTGAGCCCACCAGACTTATAGCCACCATTATGATGCTGGTAAGAAAGCGCCTCTGCATCAGCACTGGAGAGCTAACGAGACAGTTTGGAAAGGCGAATTTAACCTCGTAGCAAAACAGTTGACTCATCCTTATTAGATGTTCTTTTTACCTTGTCATTACATTAGATGAAAAAATGTCAAACCAAGTGGAATGTATTCAAGAGAAAAAATAATGCACAAGCACACATTTTACAAGAAGTTTGATTCAATGTGTTATATTTTATATCAAATATTTTTTAAATAATGAGTGCTAAACTGTATAATTGACTGTTGTGTCAGGCAACATAAGTCATAATCATAAACCGACAGAATATTGATATAGTTGAGTTAATGCGAGGAAGAGACTGGAGTGATACGAGACAATGAAATAGCTAAATGGGAAACAATTTGCCTGGGACATTACAGATATGCACATGCAGGCTAGCAGGGCAGAAGGAATGCTTCAGTCTTTTACAGTCACAAATCTGGAAGATTAAGAGATTCGAAGGACTGCTGTACTAATCCAGAAAAATCACAGCGGCTCTGAGTGACACTTTCCCCTGTAATCTGTGTTTGGTCTGAATCTGTTCACACTTGCTCAAGCACAGCACAGTATGAAGCTTGTTGTAACCAGACTATCAAATGATCATTGCGTATTTCTGTGCAGACGTCTGATGAGCACCTTATGATGTTTGTTTATGATTGCTCATTAAAGATTCAAAATAGTGCCCTAGAGTTATTTAATTACTCTGGATTATTCCCAACTCTGAAGAGAATAATGGGCGTTTAACTCGCTAATATATTATCTGGATTAATCCCAGATTGTTTATCTCACCAGCTGTTAGCAGGTTCATTGTTTCCACATATATACAAGCATAAACATCTATGGAAATTATTTTTGCTATGCCTCATGGTTATTCGATCACGGTTTCTTAACCCGTGTGTGCTTTTTCCCCAGCTATTCCTTGTGCTGACATTATGTGCAGTGTTTTGGGTAAGCTTCCTACACAACAAGTTTATTGCTGATATTCGGTTGACTGTTCGCTTGAGAAAATGTACATTATTCATATTTTATTTCTCTTTGTTTCCCTGCAGTGGAACAAAAAGGGTCTGGCGATCATCTTCTGCATTTTGCAATTTTTGGCCATGACATGGTAGGTGATAGACTGTCAATCATCTTTAAATGAAAAAAAAAAAGTTTATAAGATTTGTGTCAAATAATATTAAAATGATTATTGTATGGAACAAATCTCAAGAAGTGTATATCTAAGTATTTATCTTACACTTAGTAACTTCGGTTTTGTACTTATGTTCATTGTTAAAGATGGTTTCTAAAAGATTTTTAAAGAAAGTAATTTTTGGAACTGAAAGTAACTAGAAAAAGAGTGTTTTTTTCTTCTTCTCCAGAACAAATGTGAAATGTCATGATAAAGTGATATATCATGATATTTGTGTTTGTATATCTGAACGTGTGTGTCATGATGCTTATCATGAAATTTAACCAGTAGGCCAAATGCTAAATCTCTCTAGCAGCCAAAGACCTGAGCACTTTTGGTATTGTTGTGCCCAGAGTACCTAAAAAAAAAA